AAGAAGTATTGCAAATCCTACTGGAGACGCTTCAGCCAAAAGAGAAAATCACCCTCATCCCATTTGAAAAGAATAAGGCAATACTTGACATGGCCGAACTTCAGACTCTGAGCAGAATCCTTGAAACCAAACTTAGCCAGATTGCAGTGGAAAATCGGTTGCCCTCCTGTAACGAACTAAATATCTCGCAGAAGACCATAGTTATCAAGATTCTGGGTTTTCCCTTCAACCTCTGGCAGGATCACATATTCTATAAGATAGCAGTGGCCTGTGGTGGGGTCTTGGAAGGTTTTTGCATGCAAAACCTTCAAGCGGCAAAGATTAAAGTTGCAGGTGGAAGATTGGAAAAAATCCCAAGAAGCCTGGACATCTTTGTGGATGACTGTTGGAGAAAGGTGTGGTTGGCGTCAGAAGTCGAAGCAAGGTTGTGGAACAGTTTGGAGGTAGAAGAAGATGATGACGTGGACTGTTGGAGGCCATGTGGCGAGAGCTGGGTGGACTGTCCAAAAGGTCAAGTTGACCAGGCGTTTATGGAAACTGAAAAGTCGGGCAATAGTTTAAAGGAGATTGCTTGGCCATTTAAGGGAGATTATTTTGAAAAATTGCGAATGGGATCCAATGGCCCAAAAGAAATCCTATGCTGAGGTGATGCAATCGAAAAAAGGGCCACCTCGCGCTCAATTTACAAAATCAATTGAAAAGTCGGACCCGTGTCTACATAACCCGATCCGAAAGTCTAATCTGGGCTAGGTCTTTCAAGTTGGGTCACGTGACCCTTTTAAAAGTCATGCGCAAAGCTCCCTTGCGTCAATGGGGGACGATGATTGTGGTCTATCATCGTCCCAAAGTGTGCCTATCCGCTCAAATCGTCCCCAAATAGGAGCGACAATCAGAAAACCCTCCCCTCCTCTTCCTTCGGCTGCGGGAAAGACATCGGCGACTGGGTTGAAGCTGAATTGGAGGCCGATGACTGAAGAAAACTCCACTACGCCTGAGAAGCCAAACCCTCGCTACAATAGGGTCTCTCGCAAGGAGACTCTAAAGATGACTCAGATTGGGAGGCATTAAGAGATGTGGAAGAAGATGAGGTTGATCTATTGTCAAGTATTGGTAGCATCAATTCGACAAAGACCTGCAAACTTTTAGACTCTGAAGCTTTCAGAACTGAACTGCTCTTCTCTGAAGATGCTTGTACGAAGATTCTGGAGATACAGGATCCAGGGGCTGGTAACCTTACTGTGGAAAGTGGAAGGCCTACAGGAGATTCTCAGAGAGAGAAGAAAATAGATACAAATCAAGAACAAAGACAGGGTGGTAGTTTTGTGGAGACGGGTTTCCATAGCAAACCGACTTTGGAACCACTTAAGGAACAGCTCCCCCCAACTGCACAGGTGGACACTGTACCTGAACCTGAATCATCTTGGTTTGTCTTTGGAGGAATCGATGAAATCCAAATTCAAGATTGGGGAGTCTCTTCCCCCCTTCCTCTCTTCTTCGCTCCCACTTTTCTGTCAAAACTCATTTGATTTTGATCCTTGTAGTAATCTTCAGCCTTTGAATTTTGTAGTTTCAGTTGTTGAAACGTCACCGGTGGCAGATAATGACCCATGTGCAATAGAAAAAGGAGGGGGTGGTGGAAAAGACAATGAGGAGAGATTGTTTAATGTGATGGTTTTGGAAAAGGATGAGGGCGGGAAATGAAGTTATTGCAGGTACCCAAGAGAAGGAAAAGGAAGACTGTTGTTTGGATGAGGGAGAAGAAGGTTGTAGAGAGATACCCAAAGTAAAAGGAGAGGAACAAAAAGAAGCCAAAAGGAAGTTCGCCAAAGCAAAGGTCTATCTTAGAAAGGGGGTAAAAGATGATAAAAAAAGAAAGAGAAGAATGAAGGAGGTGGAAAGGCTAGCCTGTGGTGTGTCCTATGAGAAGACTGTAAATAGGAAAAGGTTGGGGAAAAAAGAGTGAAATGAAAGTGCTTTGCTGGAATGTAAGAGGTTTAGGAAGTGCAAAGAAAAGGAGAGTCATCAGGAATGTGATAAGAAAGGAGAGACTGGTTATAGTCATGTTACAGGAGACAAAGCTTTCGGACTTGGACAGAAGGTGGATAAGAAGTATTTGGAGTTGCAGGGGTCTAAGTTGGTCTTTTGCCCCGTCGTGGGGTGCCTCGGGTGGAATCCTTACAATGTGGAAGAATGAGGAAATTGACTGTCAAGAGGAACTAATAGGTCAATACTTAGTATCAATAAAAGCCAAGAGGATGAGTGATGGAAGGGAGTGGGTCTTGACTAATGTGTATGGGTCGTATTCATATAGAGAGAGGAACTCATTCTGGGAAGAGCTAGCTGCAATCAGAGGCATATGGGAGGGTCCCTGGTGTTTGGGTGGGGATTTCAATGTAATAAGATATATAAATGAGACAAACAACCCCAACCAACCCTTAACATCTAGCATGAAACACTTCAATTCCCTAATTGAGTCCCTAGAACTAAAAGAGCCTACCTTGTTACAAGCCTCTTTCACCTGGTCAAATCTCCAAGAAAATCAAGTGTGCTCAAAACTGGATAGATTTCTGTACTCCATTGATTGGGAAGAGCTGTGGGGCACTTTGACACTAAAAGCCCTACCTAGAGTG